TCTACTTCAGAGAGTAGACTCAAAATAATTTCACACCACTTTTTTCAGCTATAAAACATTGTATTATTATGTTACAGTTACAGCATTTTGGTTGAGTTTCCTTAGAGTTTAATATTTCTCTGCCATATATGCTCACAGCATAAAGTCACTAAGCTAGAAACTTGGACATATTGTATCAAAGACAATTCTAAAAATGTAGTCTCCTAAAGCAAGCTAGAGGCAGGAAAACCTAAAGGGTCTTGAAATTTTTATAATCTCCATTGTAGTACCTACCATACAGCCTCTGGGAAAAACCCTAGAGTAGAGAGGAAAGGCAGCATTTCTGTGTTACTGTGGAGGCCTCGTAAGAGAATCATTACTTAAGAGAATGACCCGAAGAGGGAAACATGTTTACAGGCGATTCCCACAGGAGGCCAGATCAAGACCATCAACTGCCATCCCACTGCCTGCACAGCCCTTCAATGGTACTTTACTTGGAGATATAAATCCCTCCTTTTCTTCCCACTTAAAGTTTAGCATCCTGTGTTAGGCTCGAAATGCCACAAACAATTCCAGGCAGCACATCATCATTCAGCTACACATGTTATCTGGACACATGGTATCACAACTAGGAAACATTTTAAGGCGCCGCTAGCTAAGAAAATGAAAACCGCTAAGAGGAAAGGCACACTCCCTCACAGCTCTCCCACACAAGCTGCCATTAAAGCACCCTTCCAAAGGACAAGGCATTCTGAAGATCCTGTATAAATAGGGGAAGGGACCTCTCCCCCTAAAATCGAAGGGGCTTTAAAAAGGAACTGGATTCCTACTTGGATGAGTTCCAAAACCACTTCTAGAAAAATGGAGGACAGGAATACTTGTGAGGACTCAGTGATACTAGTACTTGTGACCTTCAGATCAGCTTATTCTGAATTCTGTTTCTTGTACGGTTCATGGATTTTTTGCACTGATCCAACCAGCCCATATTCTCTGTCTAAGCTTAAACAGGCTCACACATGTAAAACATCTGGCCAGGGTGGAAAGGTGCAGCTTGCAGCTCAGGAAGACTCACTGGCTCACCTGGGAACGCTGTGCATAAATGCTGACCAAACAAATGAACATAGAAACCTATCTGCCATGGGTTTAACTTTCTCTGTGACTAACTCCTAGCACTTTAAGAGAGGGAAGGGAGTATGACAGATGAGGGCAAGCAGGAGGCAGATAGCGATCGTGAGGAAATTTGTGAGGGGGCAATCAGTCACTGCCCGTGGAGTTCCTACTGGAGAAAGAATCAAACAGATTGAAAAAGTGAGCAACCATCACCTCGGTTCTGGCCGTTTGCCAGGTAGCTTTTGCTTACCTCTGATCTTAGTTAAAAACTATGTGGGATGTGTCACAGCAAAAGTGTCTCTCTCATAACAGTCTCTACACAGTGGAGATGTTTTTCTACCCAAAAGACACATTTGCTTGGAAGAGCTCTACAGAATCAGTACTGGGAAGGACCTTGGATACCATTTGATCCAGAGGTTGGGACCCAGAAAGGTTAAGTGACTTACCTAAGGTCATACAGCTGGCAGCAGTGTCTAGACTAGGAGCAAGAGCTAGCCAGAATCTCCCAAGATAAAATATGCCTATCACTGTAACTACTAGCATGTTTTTAAAGAGACAAGGTTCCCAATCTCTCAGGACTTTAGATTTATCACCATACCTTTCTAATTCCCTAGAATCAGAACTCAGGTATGTGACTAAGTACATAATGTTTTAAGACCATTCACCAATTAAATGAAGGAGATAGTGCCCACATATCAGGTTTGAAAAGGAATTTCTCTCTCTGATACATCTTACTTCAGGTATGAAATTTTAGTAATTTTACCCATGTTTTAGTATGTTCCTTGCAATTGAAACAAAAAGATATAAAGACATAATTATCTCACATATAATTGATGGTAGATAAGAAGTATTATTGTAGAAATATACAATTTGCACTGAAACTTCAGGTATTCCAAAGTTACAAAGACTGATTTATTTCAAAGAAGGAGGAAACCAAATTACTACTACATCTGATATCAGCCAAACATTTCTGCCCATAAAGTATCTTTTCTTTAGTATTTACAAAAACTAGATGAGAAAAGCACATACACTAACCAAGGTTAAAAAAAAATAACAACTTGCAGCACAGGTAGCTACAAATAGTGCTCTTCACGGTGAGAAATAAAGTCTATACGTAAGTATCCTAGCAAAATTTTCACAACACACACACAGACCTAACAGACAGATTCTAAAAAACAGCTAAGCATCCCATAAGCAAAATGCTCAAAAATTAATAAATGATTAACATTCCTGTATATGTGATATTATATAAATGAACACAACACACCCCTCTCTGCTCTCACCTTTCATCTCACTCAACCTCCTTTTTCCAAACGTGTGCTCACCCTTCCACCTCCCGCTATTCTGCAACCAAATCACAACCACCCAGAAGCAAGGCGTCCGCTGCAGCCCAAAACACTTGAGTGATAATATCCGGTTTGCCATTCCAGGAAATCCCAGAGTGGGTTTTAAGCCTCTGCCCACAGCTTGTAAAGAAAGGCGAGAGAAGAACTAATCGATACCAGCACCCCAGCTGTGACCTGGCACGTAAAGAAATCAAGAAAATAAATGCCATCCATAATCTGTATAATTTAACACTTGGAAGAAAACAACATCTGGGATCGACTCCAAGCAGGACAGTATTGCTGGATGGGTCTGGGCTTCCTGCACTGAGTGTCAAATCTGGTGACAAGGGGATGCTCTGGTTCCTTACCAGTTCAGCAAAGGCAATGTCTTTTCCCAACAAGGGTTAATCACCTCCAAAAAGAGGGAGAGTGAGGAGAAGGAAAATCACCACCAACAACATCTACTCCTTGCCAGCAGAGTGCCTGGCAAAGGTTCCCCTTACACTCTGAAGAGAGGGAAGGCTGGAACTCCTTCTCAAAGGTGGGTCCAGGACAAACTATTGTCTGGCTAACCAGTCACAATCCAGAATGGAACTAATGTAAAATACGGGAATGACTTTGTTTAATCAATCATACAGCCTCTTCAGTGGACTCCAGAGTCCTATCCCCAGGCGAAGTTGTAAAAAAAAAAAAAAAAAAACCCTTAACTACGACTTCCTGGAAAGGCTTTTCAGATTTTTTAAATTACAGAGAAATAAATTTAGAATATAAGCGGATACCTACACATCACCTAAATCACTAGATCTGCACCCAGTTAAAAAAAAAAAAAAGCCAATCGGCAAGACATTACAGAAAATACAGACTGTTAGTAAATTCCGTAATGTTTTCTCCCTGTTAAACCTTCTGAGAGGTTACAATTACATTTGGCCGCTGCAGGCTTGTCAGAGAGCCCGGCTTCTTAATAGTCACAACCCTAAAAGGAGTAACTGTCAAGGGGAGACCCAGCTGAAATCAAACAACAAAAACGGGAACTGTAATCGGCCTGAAATGGGAGGAGGGAAAGGAAGGGAGACTCCTGTATTCATCAGTCAACATTAATGTCCTTTGTTGTTCACCTTTGCACAGAACAGCGAGCGCTACCCTGTGCCTTTTCCTCCGAAAGCCAGCGTTAGAGTAGTCCTTTCCTAAAAACTGCCTCCTCGCCTCGAAGACCCAGGCTTTCCAATCCCGCTCCCTATTATCACTCCACAGCCGGCTTCCACCGCCACCCCCACCAAGCTCACCCTGGGCCGAGAAGGTGGCCAGAAGTAAAAACACTGCTGAAACACCCGTTGCCCTCCAAAGACCAAAGAGCAAAGCGGCGCAGATGTTGAAATTTACCAACCCCCCGGCCCCTCAACACACACACCCCATAAACCCGGGAAGGGAGGGAGGAGGGAGGCTCGGGCCGGGCTCGGTCTGTCAGAGCGGCTCTTTTGAGCACCGTGCCACATTCCGCACTCCGGGAATGTTGATGGGAGCCACAGGGAAGGTTTTGCGCTTCCCTTCTGTGTTGGGGGGTGTTCTCTCTGCGCGGTTGTTGTCGTCCCCCTCTCCACCCTGGGAAATCGTTGCAGTCCATTGCCGTCACCCCGCCGCTTTGGCGAAGGAGGAAGGAGGGTGAGGAACGGCGTTCGCCGTCCTCTTCCAACTTGACACACAGACGCCCCGTCGCCACTCCAAACTCCGCAGGCAGAGCCCGGAGCGGGCGGACTAGCCACGCGCTCCCCACAGACGTCCCGGCACTCCGGCAGCCGGTGCCGAGAGCGCCGATCGAGCTGTGAGGGGCGACACCCCGGCGCGCACCCCTCTGCTCGGAGTTGGCTCGGCAAAGCCAGAACCCGCAGCGCGATGCCAGGATTAGGCATTTCCAGCCCGGCGGAGCGAGAGGGACGCGGGGGCAAGGACGCGAAATGCGCACCCTCTCCAGCCAGAGCGGAATAAAAGTTCGCCCCGCGGAGACTCACCCACGCCGTATTTCTCGTGCTCCGTAGGTATCCACATGGCTAAAGCGGAATCCCGGGTCTTCGGGCTTTGTAATCCCCGCGCCCCTTCTCCGGCTCACAACAATGCACAGCTCCCCACTAGCGGCTGCAGCGCTGGAGCCCGGCGGCTCCGCGCGGGCTGCGGGCGCTGGGCAGGGTCTGCACTGGAGGCTCCCGAGCCCGGCGTTGACACTGCGCGGCCGAGGCTGCGCCGCCCGCCGCTCTCCCGGCGGCGGCTGCTCACAGTCCTCCGACGCGCTCCCGAGGACCCGGCGGCGCAGTCATTGTTCTGATTCACTGAACTAAGCGAACACGCCGGGGCACTCTCGGGCGCACCCCCGCCCGCCGGCGCCTCTTCCAGCCCACCCCGCACAGAGCCCCGCAGCACGCTGGGAATTGTAGTTCTGGGCCTCTCCATCCTGGAAGGGGGCGTGGCATTACCGGTTACGGGCGGGGATTAGGGTCCTCTCGCCACGTCCTATTGGCCCAAAGCGTGACGGTGCAGCGTGGGCGTGGAGGAAACGCTGCGTTTATGGGGCGTTCTCCTCCAGTCGCGTTTCCATTGGTTCCGGGCCGCACCCGCCCCGCCTTGCGGCCCTCCCTTTTTTCTTCACCCGCGTAATGGCTGCTCCCAAGACCCAGGGGGCTGCTGCCCGAGGGGAGGAGAACAGTGATGGCAGCCGTAGTGGAACCGGGGGTGTCAGTTATGAGGGTGAGTACGGTGCCTCTGAGATGCAGGTGGCTTGTCTTCCTTTCTCTCGGACCGGGAGTGCAAGTGACCGCCGGGCGGACCCCGGGAGCCTACCAGCTCTGAGGCCACCTGGGCGCGAGGGGGCCACGAGTGTGGCCCAGCGGGACGGGGTGGGGTCGGAGGCGGCTACTAGAGGGAACTGTCGAGGGAGGGAAGAGAAAATGAGTTGGAATGGCCTTCCCCGCAGCCAGGGAGGTTCCTCGGGCGTTTGTCTTCCATTTGGAGCTCCCAGCTTTGCGCTTGCTGCCGAGTGGGTGTGGGTCAAGTCAGGCTCGCGCGCGTGTGTGATTATAACTCCGGGATTAGCAGCTCATTTTCCTCGAAGTGCCCTTCCCCCGCCTCGGTGTGCTTGGTTTGGCCTCAGGAGATTTGTTTTATTTGGGTTCGGGCGGATTTCCAGTTGCAGACTGGTCACTACCCTGCGCTCTACAGATTTGCTGAGTTGCTGGCGGGAACGGCCTCCGAAGGGGAAGTGTGTGCCTCTCGCTGCCTCGGTCGCTTGTTGACTGCCCCTGGCGTTCTCCAGGATTGCTTGTGGAGCCTGGGACATCTTCCCAGGCTTCGTCCTTAGAGAAAGAGGAAAGGAAGTGGTGTTTTGCACTCGTGGCTTCAGAGGAAATTTCAAGGGGTTATGAAAAGCATCACAGCTACTTTGGCTCTACTTGACTTTCAAGTTGTTCTCTGATCCACTGTAGAGATCAAAAACCAGACTTTGAAAGCTGCAGAGAGGTTGTCTTTAGCATTCCTAGCTCCATTCTCTTACCTTTAGTCTATCCCGCCTGCCTCCCCTTCTTTTTTTTGCCTTGATATGTCATTTAGCACTGCAAGCTGTCTTTTTTCTGATGGACATGTTTTGGGGCTTAAATTTGTTTCTGAGTCCTTGAGGTGTTTAGTTTTGTTATGTTGTTTCTTTCTTTGTTTCCACTTTCTTGGTTAAATTGACGTTTAATCTTAAATTTTCATCTCAGCAGCACAGAGATAAAGTGCAATTTCTTCCCACTTGTCATCAGTGGAACTCCCTGGCCCTGAAATTATTTCAATACCTCTACCAAAGAAATCTTGGTAGGCTCCTGTGTTAAATATTGAGTTATACCCACACTCTAGACAGTTCATTATTGGGTTGGCCATGTAGTGGGTTCTTAGGTGATGGTAACAGACTACAGTGTTAAGCTTTTCCAGATTTTCAAAGTTCCAGAGGGCTATGAGTTTAAAAATCTAAAGATGAAATCTTTGGTGAATTTATCTCACAGATTAATTCATAAAAAAGGAAAATTGGGTATGCCTTTCAAAAACATTGTAGAACATTTAAAAATCATTAGTTATTTTAAAATTATAAAAGTTTCCATTATAAACATTTCAAACCTTTCAGAGGTGTGTAAGGTAAAAAAATGAAAATTCCTTCACCACACAGTCCCTGTCCAAAATAACAAGTGGTAAGGGTTTGGTGGGTGCACTTTCCAACGTATTCCTATATGACACTCATCTGTATGGTTTAGATTTTTTAAAAATAAAAAAGGGATTATTCTATGTAAGGTCAAAGATCTACACCTTCTTTCTCCCAATGATCTGTTAAAGATGCTCTTGCATATCAGTACATTAGTTTGCTTCCTTCTTTTTAAGAACTGTACCCATTGTATCCCAAAATATGAATGTGCCATACTTTAGCCATTCCCCTATTAATGAACATATAGTGTGGCTTTAGTTTTTCAGTAATGTTGTAGTGAACAGCTTTATATACATATACTTGACCGCTGGGTGTGTATTTCTTTTTTTAAAAAAAAGATTGGCACCTGAGCTAACATCTGTTGCCAATCTTTTTTCTTCTTCTTCTTCTTCTCCCCAAAGCCCCTCAGTACATAGTTGTATATTCTAGTTGTAGGTCCTTCTGGTTGTGCTGTGTGGAACACCACCTCAGCATGGCCTGATGAGTGGTGTTGTGTCCTCACCCTGGATTCAAACCAGCGAAGCCCTGGGCCAGCGAAGCAGAGTACCTGAATTTAACTGCTAGGCCATGGGGCCCACGCCGGGGTGTGTATTTCTTGATGAATTGCTGGGCCGAAGGTTACACATGTTTAAAACTTTAATAGATGTCAGATTTTCCCCTTGAAGAGTATCAATATACATTCCCACCAGTATCATGTGAGTGTCCTTTTCCCCATATCCTCACCAACTATGAGGAAATTACTAATCTAAGACCAATGTTTAAATGATTATTGGGTTGAACTGAGTAACTGATAGAAAGCTTTATTGTGGGTTCTCATTTTTCAACAAAAGTACTGAGCAGCAGTGAATCTGCTGTATCTGTAACATAAAAAAAAAATTTCCTCACCCTGGCTCAGAACTGCCCAGTTGTCTCACTATTTTGTAGCAGTCAGTGGAAGAGCTTAATGGTTTATTTTTATGTCATTCTTAAAAGGTAAAGGTATGATTTAAAATCTCCTTAATAACCTATGTATCATTCTGAGACTTCATCCAATTTTTTTCAAAGCCAGCAAAGTGATACACATTTTGGGTGGAAATAATATTAAAAACATTCATATTTTTTGTTAAGCAGCCACTTAGGTTATCAAGTATGTCTTTCCCTGTAAAATCCTTAATTTCTTGAAAACTGCCTCTTTTAAGAGGTTTCTCTCTAGCTCTAATTAAAATGTCAATCTCCCTGTTTAATATCCTGGGACAGAAGGGACCAGGGAGTCTTTTTATAGAAATACTTGCAATTCTAGAAGATTTCTGCTAGACTGAGTCACTGGGTAGTATGCAGGCAGGTGCAGCACCTTCCCCGGGACCCGTGTTGACAGACTTTCTGAGGTGCCATCCCTCTCCAGGAGAGTCCCTTATCTTTCACAACACTGCTTTCCATGCATTTGAACAGTAACTAGGATTTCATGTTGTCCCCTAAAATTAAGAACAGGTAGTAAATAGACTCAACATTTCTCACATTTGAGGGTGTGTTATTGGTATTATTTTCTTTTATTGTTTTTAGTTAGAAAGCACTAAGATAGCACATCTATAGTTTGTTAATTGGCAGTACTTTTACAGAATTTTGTGTAACTGAGGTGATTTCTTCTGACACTGTTCACCTGTGCCTTCATGCTGTAATATTCTGACAGAGTCAACTTTTTTCCTTGCAAATGCATGCCTAGGAGATGATGATCATGGTTATCCTACTTTGGATTTATAATGCTTTTCCTCTGGAGACCTTATTAACTCATTTGTGATGTCTTTAGAAGAAATGTGGGTAGCAGGTGGTGTCAACTCCTCATTCTTGTATGTCCTATTTCAATAAATGGCATCAAACCTTAGCTAGAAACCTGGGAATCCTTGATTCCTATCTTGCCCACAGGTCCTGAATCTGATCAGTTACCGTGCCTTGTTTTTCTGTGCCTGAAATAATCTTCTGAACCTGTTCTTTCTCTTTATCTCACCAGCTACTATTCTATTTCTAACCTTCACCATCTTTGCTGAGTTACCTGTGTCCCCCATATTCCAAACTGCACTCTTGGGGACCAGAACCTCCTATACGTTTTTGTCTGCCTGACTCTGTTCGTAGCACATTGTCAGTGTTTAATGAATGTTAGACCAGAAATGAATTCTAGTCTGGACAATTGCAAAACCTTCCTAACAATCTCACACACTGATTTTCCCCACTTTAATCCACATTCTAAAACACAAATGTATTTGTGGGTCTGCATTTGAAAACTCCGGTGTAACTATAATGCATGTACAATTAGGTCCAAATTCTGCATGTGGCATTTAAGCTTCTAACTTACTTTTCCAGCCTCATCTTCAGTCACCCTGCTTCCCTTCCCAGATCTCCATTTTCACACATTATCAGACTCTAGTTATTTGTTGGCAGCTTTGTCTACCCCATTAGACTGTGGACTTCTTGAGGGCAAGAATTGTCTTATTTTACTTTTATGCATCCAGTGCTTATCAGAGCTGCATGTAGTAAACACTCTATAACCATGTAATGGTTAGAATCTGTTTGAAATTTATTCAGAGTACTTGGAATGGCAGCTATTTTAAGCAGAGGAATTGAAATAGAATAAAAAGCTGAGTAGATGTTTTATGCTTGTGAAAGTTATGCATACCAACTGGAAAATACAGAATATCATCTTCATAGTTAGCATTTTAGCATAGTTTTTCAGTTTTTTTATTGAATGAAGTTTTAGTGCTATTTAGATAATGATTAAATTTTATAAAAGAATACTTCAAATCTGTCCTTTATAACTTTGAACCCATAACCGAATGAACTGCTACATAGACCTTAAAATCTGTCTTCTGGGCTGGCCCCGTGGCCAAGTGGTTAAGTTCGCTCGCTCCGCTGCAAGCGGCCCAGTGTTTCGGCGGTTCGAATCCTGGGCGCGGACATGGCACCTCTCATCAAACCACGCTGAGGCAGCGTCCCACATGCCACAGCTACAAGGACCCACAACAAAGAATATACAACTATGTACCGGGGGCTTTGGGGAGAAAAAGGAAAAAAATCTTTAAAAAAAAAATCTGTCTTCCATCCTTGTATGGCTGTTATCCAATTTTCCACAGGTTATCATCTTATTTCCAGCATTAATGCTTAAGTCTAGTCTTATATATTTGACATGATAGTGGAAAGAGGACTAGACGCTATCTTGGAAAAACTGTATGTAAATTTCAGTTCTGACATTTAGTAGTTATGTAACAGATTTATTGCACATGTGCTACATTTATGAAAATATAGATATAATACCTACTTCACAGAGTTTTTATTATTTCATTGAATTATATACTTATGAAAGCCCAACATATTTCCTTTTATAAAGTTGGACCTCAATAAATATTAGTTGCTTTCAATAGAAAGGTATGCCTGACTGAACTCTAAAACTCCCTGCTCTCTGATTGTGTAGTATTCACTTAGGAAGCAATCTAAATTGTGGTGTAACCCAGGGGAAGCTTAGGAATGTGTGGGTGTTAACTGCTTAGGC